AGCACACTTTTCACAGTTTGTACTGGATTGTTGTGAGATTCAAGCTGCTGGTTATGTTTATATGGTGTTCGTATGTTTTATTGACGTTCCGATTTGTTTGTCGTTGTTTTCTCTACTCTTTTTTCTCACTAGGAGGTGTTATATATACGATTAGATTTTCTTTTATTTTGTTCTTGTGTCGCGCCTTCACGCACTAAAATCATGTGAAAATCTCTATCAAGACAAAAAAAAAAAAATGCGTTATTTCTCAATTCACACAGTTTCATTTGTTTTCACTTTGTGCTTCGACAATAATAAAATGCCGCCGGTTTAATGTGTAAGAACGGTTCCACACCAATTGGCCCATCAAACCATTCATAAATAATAATAACTGGTATAAATTAAACAAAAATTAATTAAATAATTAACTTGTTCAATTCACAAAATTAAAAAAAAAAAACAAACAACAATAATAAAGCACACAGTGAATGGTTGAAATTCCAAACTAGTCTAGTTCTGTCTCATTGTCGATCTAATGCTAACCATCTATTATCCATTTAGCTAACAATTGGCATATTTGTTGTGTTGCGCGCAATTTGTTCACATTCTTCATGGGCAATCACCGCATACCGTATAATTCATACATTGCGCTAACTGAAAATTAATTTCTTTTCAACACACTTCTTTTTCTATTTTAACTTAAATGATAGACAATTGTGGCACACTAATTATCATGAGAGAAGCGATTTATGTTGATGTTTGAATAATACACGATTTTGCACTCGAAAGATTTCGATGTTGATTGTTTCAACACAAAATGAAAAAAAAAAAAACAAAATTTAAATGATCGCTGCGAACGCGCACATTCACCTTCAGATCAGTTCGTCAAACAATTTACAACTGACTGCATTGAACAACAAACAAGCAGCAAGCAGTGGCGAACAACCAGAGCCTCAACTGAAACAGACGGCATGCACGGTGTTACGATACTTTAATTATTCACTATAAAACACACAGGAAGAAACTAAAAAAAAAAAAATAAACGAAGAACGAACCACAAGAGCAGCAACAGTTTGTTGCGAGGAAGATAGAGGAGGACGGGAAGATAAAGAGTCCAAATTTAAAACAAAAATGAATTGAGAGAAAGGGAGAGAAAGAAGAAACGAAGAGAGAATAATACATTGAAGCAGAGCATACATTTACAACGAATTATGGTTGTGAGAATTTCTTCAGGTTAATAGTTCCGAACTAAAAATGAGGAAGAGAAAGAGAGCCAAACAGCCAAATATAAAATATGACATGAAACCACAGTATCAATGTTTAATGAAAAGGATGACCACTTATGATTTTTAAGTCGATGAAATGGCACTCACATTTGAACAATGCATATATACTTGCTTTTCTGCCATTCTACGCATTTCGAATATTCTTTCCATAACCAGAATGATGTATTTATGTCTAAGAAGTATTTATGGAACGCTAATGCACATTCATTGTCGACTTTATTTACTTAGATTTTAGATTCGAAACATGTTTGTCTAAGACACAAAATGGACAATAGAAATGATGCATCACAGCATACTAGTTTGTGGATGGAAGACTATGCAATGCACAAAACTGATCGTCATCACGTAAGAACCGAAGCAACAAAACATATGTCAAACAATGACAAAGGTGTATGGTCCGTCGCTTCTTTACCGATACACACATAGTATACACATGTATGCACGTGTCCAGAAATGTACACAGACGCGCGCGCACTTACAACCATTTGAATTCGTCGATCGTTTTATGTTGTTGTGTCGTCGTTGTCGTTGTCGTTAATGTTGATGTCGATGTTTATGTTTATGTTGAGAGAGATGGATAGAGAGTGGGAGATTGTTGTCCGAATTGCTTTCAGCTTGCATGTTATAGCTCCATCGTTATTTTCAACTTCTTCATAGCACTTGCCACTATTTTATACACGCTCACCAAAAATACCAATGCACATACACAATATTATGCATTCTCTCACTCACAATATATGCACCATCTGACGTTGTTGTGTCTCATTCCTTTTAATGTATATTCGCTCTTTTGTTTCCATTGCACTGCACCAACGACTAAAGTCGGTGTTTCTTATAGTCATTGGTGCAGCTGTTTGGTTTTGATCATCGGTTCACTGCTTTTTGGTCAAGACACAAACCTTGTACTCGGGATCGTGAGAATGTTCGTTAGCAACGGCAAAAATTTCGGTTTTTAATCAACAACATGTAATTGAATTCATTTCACCGTAATTTGAACAGAAACTACATTTCTTGCAAGATAAATATAAATTCAATTTAATCGTTCAAGGATTTATAATTCATTACGTGCCACTTGTTCTCAAAGGTTTCTTTTTTTATCTCGGTCTGTTTATTTTTGGTACTCAATAAGTATTGAACATTCTTTATATCGGCCACTTTTTGCTCTTCATAATAATCTGTGAACAAAGTTCAACTAAGCGTGCAAGGATTTCAGAACATTTTTCTGCTTCTTCTTTTTTTTTCAAACTGATGCTTTTTGTTTTCTGCTCTAATTCGAATGGTACAGCATGTGAATGATGATGTCAATATATACAATTTAAAGCTGAACAAATTTAACGGTGCAGAAAAAAAACTGAATTTGATTCGCCAGTATTTTTTCACTTGAAAGATGCCATTCGTCCTTTAGGGGCTTTGCTCTTTTGATAACAGTTGAGGCATTCTAAATCATAGAGGGATGGGCCAACGCGTCAAAGTCAATCAATGATTCGGTTGATTTTCGAAAGTTGAAAATTTAAGCGTAAAAATCTTTTGAAAAATCCATAGGTGAACATTTTGGACAGTTTTGACAATTTGGATACACCTCTTACAATATACATATTACTCTTGCCAAATGACTTTCACCTCAAATATTTTGTCATGTGTTAGGAAAAAAGAACGTCCTATTTGATTTGAAAAGGAGCCATTTTCACTTTTCGTTCCTTTTGAGTACATAAAAGTGCGGATTTCCCAATGGACAACATATAACAAAACATATAACTGATATCAATCTAGTGAGTAAACCAGTGAGTATTGTATGTAAAGAGCATTTTTATGTTTCCTTCAAATTGAAATATGTTGCTATTGATATTACTTTTTTATTTATTTCTATCCTTTTTTCGTCGCAATACCTTACAAAATCTTGTGGTTTTATGTAGAAGAGAATGGTTTTTTCAAATTCAAGTGGTACTTTTGAATAGTTGAAGTTGGTTTTTGTTGAATTCGAAAGAGTTTAAAATTGAGATGAACATAAAACACACGCTATTTTTCAAATAAAATACAATTGACACATATCTCGAATTTTCTTCTTCATTGCGTATTTCATTTTCAAATTTCTCATTGACAGTTTGTCGTAATGCTCAAAACAATGAAAAGATTATTCATCCAAATTAAAGTTTGTCAAATGAGTAATTCCTTCAAAAATATAATAATCTCTCGAGAGAGACCATCTATGCAATGAAAATCCTTATTACGAAATATTTGGTCTGGTGAGAAACAACTTACAGTTGGTTGGATGACATTTTATTGTGGTGTTCATACCATATTCCAATTAAAGTTTTTTTGATTTTAATTTGCATTTCACATAGCCCATTCAGTCCACACTAATCAATACAGTGTTTGCTCGAGTGTTTGTTATTCCAATTTCGAAAATATGTGATGCACGTCAGTTAGTTTTCCTTTTCATCAGCACCGGTGGATGATGGATGCTCTAGCGAAAATCTGTTTCTCTCAAAATCAATTTACATAGAACACTTTGTCGGCACTGGCATTTCGGTTTATGTTTGTCTTTGCTTGTATATGTTTTGTTGTGAGTTTCACATTTTCAGTGAAATTTAATTTAATACTTTCGTCAAACACACTTACACCACCATTTTGGTATATGTATACAAATAAAGAGAGAGAATTTGTGATTTGGACGGTTGGCAGTGTCGGCACATCGTTTTTCCATGCAATATTTTTGATGGTTTAAATCATTTTATCTTTCTTGCGCATCATAAATTGAATTTTAAGAGAAATAAAGACGAAAAAAGGAAGCAACACAATATGGAAAAAATATTAAATAAATAAAGTGATTGAATTTCTATCCCTTTTTTCTCATCGTTTTGTTCTTTCTGCTGCGTCGAAAATGCGAGAATTGAAGATTATTTTGCTGATTTTCCGAATCGAATGCTGACAACTAAATTAAATCATCGCCTGGCTAATTGATGTCGAAATGTAAAGCAATTTCCACCATATAATCTCAATGGCATACCAAAACAAATCCAAACTGTCTTTCTTCATTCTAGACATTTCTTTCTATCGAAGTGTTTAACATGAATACGATTGCATAACGAATGTTGTTTGATTTGGATGACGAAGAGAGTATGATAAATTATTGACGCTTCCGTATTATAGGGGCGGTTCAACGATTGAAAATTCTTTTTTAATTATTATTTTTGTAAAAATGTTAATCTAAATTTATTATTTCCTAATTGAATTTGGAATGTTTCGTAGTTGAATTAAGTTGACAATCTCAATTCGAGATTTAAATTCAAGAGTTTTCAAATTCAAAAAAGAAATTCAAATATTTTCATAAAATCAACATTTGCTTTCAAAAAAAAAACTCTTAACAAGAGTCCAATGGTATATGCTTGTGATATCAACGACAAACAGAGTAAAAGAAAGGAAACACATGATTGTGTAATTAATGCGAGCATAACAACAATTCCACTGATGATAATCACTGCAAATGGATGGAACTTAATATTTAATTATTTTAAGCATCCATTTGATTTGCTTTCCTGTTGCTGGTGTGACATCTGTTCGGAATGCGTTAATATGTTCGCATATGTTACTTACATATTTCTTTTGCTTTCTCTGTATGCTTGAACACACAATAGATCCATGGTGCGTTACGACACCAAAGCAAGTGACCGAGCATGTAGACTCAAACACAATTGTCTGTCTTATTATTTGTAAATGGCCTAAAAGCTTACTTACCACCAATGTACCGCTGTTGCTTTGCTCGACGACCTGTCGATGGACTTAATAAACTTTCGCGTCTAATGCTCCCTGTATTAGCATAATTGATTTGTAAATATTGCGGCGTTGGTTGTGATGCTGTTGTTGTTTGTGATGGCGGTGACAGCGTTAACGATGGCCTAGGTGTTTCACTCCAAACAGCTTCAACCATTGAATCGATGCTGGATGAACGTGGTATCCGTGCATTTGCATGGTCTCGTCTGACATTTTTCACAAAATCAAAAGAAATGAAACAATTACACCAACAGAAAAATACATTTGACAATACAATCTATTTGCTTTGGAATTTCAAAGAACACCTTGTGTTGAGTGCCAAATCGAATACTACAGAATTCATTCAATATCATTGAAGACAGATTATTGTATCAATTACTGAATAATGATAGTCCCCCATAGTTACAAACAAATCAATACAAATCACATATTCTTAAATCACATTAGAGATTTGTCATCATTTTATTTCTCATCTCAACGCAAATCGATTTTATTCGCGTTATAAAACTGGCTGCTACAAAATGACTGTCTAGTTCAATCAATTCGACGGGTATTGAATTGCGGTGCACGAACGCTATTACTTCTTTGTGAAACCGAAACAATTGGGATCAAAAATTAACCGAGCACATAATGATGAATCAAAAAGATTCACTTGAAATAATTGTATAGCTTGATCACTTGTAACAAAATACTGTATTGTACTGTATAGTATCACGTACTGCATAAATTGAACATGATGTTTTTTTTTATCTATCTTTGGCTAATGAGATCTTGGTGACTTGATAAAATATTGTTTCGATATTGTTGTATGGTGTTGAATTTCTTTTGTTATGTAAAATTAACGAGACTCGTAAAATTTCGCAACCGTAGACCGGGCAGTTCGTGTACAATACCATAATTTAATATATTCGGACTGTGATACAGAATAAATGATTGTAACTAATCTGAAGATGATAGCTAAAGATACAATTTACCTTTCCCAGGAGAGTCGCCGAGGTGCATCATCTTTTAAAACGATATGTTGTTCATTGGATTTCATAGTTTGATTTAAAAGCTTGGCCAATCGATACAGAGGCGTTTTTTCCTGACTATTTGTCGGAATTGGGCCCGGAAAACTGGTGCTTTGTGCATTCGATCCAGATGGACTGCTGGCCATATGATAAGCACGTGCTGCAACCACATGTGGCGCAGGAATTCTACGTACATGCATAGATTAAATGAGAAAAAATATGGTGAAGATAAAAAGAAAAGCAATTAGTACTATTTGAGGTGAATAACCGATAACACTAATTATTACCGGCAAGAACTAAAATAAATGTTTGTAAATATAAAAGAGAAGAGTGTAGAGTGAAGATGAATCAGATGTATAGAACATTGAATCTTTCCGATGTAATGCACACACGTCAATAAAATGTAATGGCATGGCATGGCACGGCACAATTCAAGTTATGCCTTTGTGGTTGGCTTCGTTTCAACTGCTGAGAGACAACGATGTCTAGACGATATTTCCATAATGCTACTGTAACTTAATATCTTTGGCCACGATTCTTTTTTTGATCTCCCCATCACTTTCTCTCTTTCTATCTCTCTCTCTCTCTCTCTCTCTCTCTCGAGGCGTCATCTTCTCATTCCTTTGACCACATTTTCCTTTTAGATCGCATGGCACATAGAGCTGTAATAATGCAGAGAACAATAACTATTCTCAGCACAATATCGTGGTTGTTACTTGTTAGTGAATGAACGTCGTACCGACTTGTGAAATGATTTCAATTCGGCGTGTAGGTATTTAACTTAAGCTCTGCCATTTTCAAGCAACCATTGCTCTTATTCCATATAATGATTTATACACGCAGCTCTGTACATAAAATGTGAATCGATTTAAATAGCGATTGAGAAAATGGGAGATTTCATTTGAATAAATATGGTTTTGTTGAACGGGAAACCGTTTCCAGCTACTGAATTTAATGATTTTGTCACATTTTTTTATGGAACCAAACGAAAATTATTTTATTTCAACGATGTTACAGCATTTGCTTAAGAAATTATTATCATAGCATTTGCTTTGATATTTTTGCTTTGGCCAAAAATGAAAGGGACATAACGAGACAAACAAAAATGTGAAAGAGCTGAGCATATGGTCGATGCTGATTTGAATTTTGAGTTTAATCAAAATAAGTTATTCTCGTTCCGAATAACTAAACACGCCTCCCTAAATTCAGTCAACTTCCGAATTGAGTTAACAATTAAATTGACGTCAGCAGTAAATGCTTGGACAATTTGTTATAATTTAAATGGAATGAAAACACACTGATTTTGGAGGTTTGCAGAGGAGATTGCAACACCATTTGTCATAGTACACACAAATTAGATTAATGGAGAGACACTAATATACTAACGGTGACAATCCATTCGGTGATGAATCTTTGGAATATCAACTCTATTCTGCGGATGAACTTGAATATCGAACAAAGTAGAATGTTTTTCATTTGGTACATAGGTAGTCATGCAAAATGACTATTTTTTTGTACATAAGTAAATTTATTTGAAAATTAAAAGGAAAAATATATACAGAGTGTTGCATTAAATGTGCTTCTTCGCGCCATTCTCAATATCAAATATTCTCTCTGTCTTTGTGATTGCGAATGGAACAAAGAAGAATTGCGCAAGACTCTCTGTATATTTTTCGATATAAAAAAAAATTGTTCATAGATTTACTTCGGTAAGTGCAAGCGCTTATTTCCAAGCGCGAATGTATTTGATGGGTACTTATAATTTTCTCCGAAACATACTCATGTACAAAAAAGTAATTTGGCGTTCCCACCTATTTTGTATGAAAATAGCGAGAAAAAAACTATCTTCAACAGCTTAGAGATTCAGCGATTTAATTTTTTCCCGAATATCAATGGTTATATTTTATTCATGATGCAAATTCTTTGATAAATTTAAAGATTTAATGGAAAAATAGAGGAATGAACTAATTTCAATATCGATGCATCATTTTGAATATATTTCACTACTTCGCTGATTGCGAGACATAACTTGACAATGTTCCATGTTCCATGTTCCACTGATGAAATGTGCTTGCAATACTTGAAATAATCTTCTAAGAAGAATAATATGATGATGTAAATGTAAATAGTAGTTTGTTCATGCAATTATGCAAAGTAAATCGTCGTTTTTGCAATTGGTGTTCATCATTGCTGCAGTGAGTAGTTGAATTTGTTGATCGAACTACGATGAACATGTAAATTATACATAATGAATGTAAAATCAGTATGCGTATGAATATGCACAGTAAAATCTTGCACGCTATCTCATATGTTCGAGAGCCGGAGAGAATAGTATAAGTATAACTTACCTTAAAATAACCGTTCCATCGGGATGTCGTTCGCATTCATCAAATGCGTAAATATACGGGTCAGTGTTATTGCTCACGCTACCAAAACTTGACGTATTATATACCGTTGCATTTGGGCTGCCAGCCGACTTGCGTCGATATTCTGTCGGCGCCTCATCACTTATCAGCGATGCACGCGAAAGTTTCGGTTGCAATGAAAGGCGAGCATTAAAATTTGAACATCCGCTGAAATTATCACCTGCAAAAACAAAACAAAAATAAAAACTTCTGTACCAACAACGAGATAGTCTAAATAAACATTCGCAATGTTAAATATTTATAAGTTGGATTCATGAATTCAACGAGAAATATTCATCTAATGACACACATGTACAAAACGATTGAATACATCCGAAATGTGTGCTATTCAAAAATGATTGCTATATAAATAGTAGCAAAACGAAAAGCTCTCTGTCTCTCAAACACACACACACACATTTTGTGCATTTATACAGCAATTTACAAGCGTTCCCATTCCAAGCAGTCGATTGTAGTTAATGAAAATCCCATCGGTTGTTTTTCTTTTGTTCCATCGCGTTCTTTTTCCAGCTCGTAAGCATCGCTGTGTGCGACTGTGCGTGTATGTTGTTACCACGCACGTAACGACAATTTATGTAAATACTAAAGATTTCGACACAAGCGAAAAACAAGCGACTAATGAATACACACACACACGAACGGACCAAATGAATTGCTGTCTTGCAAATAAAGAGTCGACGCTCCAGCCTGTGGTGGCAATTAAATTGACTGGATAAATGAATATCGAAAATTTTTGGATTGAATTTTCACTTTGCACATCTACATGAACATTTTCACGGCATATATCAGACATCACTAGTGTGCCTTGTTGGAGTTTGTGGCACGAGAGTCGAAATCAAAACGTGCACATGAATATCAAATTGGTTGAAGAATGTAAATAGGTCGGGAAGTGCTTTTACAGGGGGAGGAAAAATTTTTAAGCCTGACATATAGACGGCACTAGTTACAAATTGTTCTTGTGCTGTAATTGACGTACGAACTGTCAATAGTATTGCAGAAAAAAATTGAGTTGATATCTGTCGTCGTTTGTTTTCAACAGCATTGCATACCAAGTAACCTCGATATTTTTGAAAAAATGGATAAAATCGAATATCGTGCGGTGATTAAGTTTCTCACAAAAGAAGGTGTGACACCAAAGGATATCAATGATCGCTTGCGTGCTGTTTATGGGGTCCTTGCCCCATCGTATGCCACAGTAAAACTATGGGCAAAACAATTCAAGTGGGGTAGAGAATCATTGGAAGATGATCCTCATACAGGTCGACCAATTGAAGCAACAGCTTCAGATGTAGTGCAAAAAATTGAACATCACGTGCACGAAAATCCTCGAATGAGCAAGAAAGTGTTAGCAGCAATGTTTGACATCTCAGAGAAGAGTATTTACAACATACTTCATGAAAAATTGCACATGAGAAAGGTTTGCTCGCGATGGATTCCAAGAACGTTGAACAAATCCCAAAAAGAAGAACGAATTGCTGCTGCACACGAGTTTCTCGAGTTGTTGGAATGGAATGAAACGGACACATTTGAGGGAATAGTGACTGGCGACGAAACCTGGATCCACTACTATGATCCAGAGCTCAAATCACAGACGATGGAATGGCACAAATGTGGTGAACCAGCATCGAAAGTGCCACGCAAACAAATTGCCACAAACAAAGTAATGGCCTCTGTATTCTGGGATGCCAAAGGCATATTATTGGTTGAATTCCTTCCAAAGAATACCACAGTCACGGGCTATTATTATGCACAACAAATGCATAGATTGCGTAAAGCGATCAGAGAAAAGCGTCCTGGTTTGCTCACTCGAAAAGTTCTTCTTTTGCATGACAATGCACCGCCTCACAAATCATTGCTTGCACAAGCTGCCATCAGGGAATGTGGGTTCGAACAACTCCACCATCCACCGTATTCTCCAGATCTGGCCCCCAGCGACTATTTCCTGTTCCCAAACACCAAAAGATATCTGAAGGGGAAGCAATATGAGTCCGAAGAAGAGATATCGAACGATATTTTCAACGTATGGGAGGACAAAGATGCCGAGTGGTTTGAAGGAGGAATTAAAGCATTGAAGCATCGATATGAAAGTGTCATTCGTGTTCATGGAGACTACTTTGAATAATAAATATAGTCATTTAAAAATACAATGTGTGTTTCTATATCAGGCTTAAAAATTTTTCCTCCCCCTGTAAACAATACTGGCAACAAACACCAAAGCTGAACATTTTCAAATGAATTTTGAACGCTGATTATTCTGTGCCACGACATCCAATTCTAAAATGTTGCCCTTTTTGCCATGAATTCAGTGCCTTCACATGTGCTCAGATTTATGTTCTCAATTTCTATTTATAAATAGCAAAATGAATAATTTTGAAAACGTCACAGATTGTAGCAACATAATGTAGAAGGGAAAATCACGCCTGATCCACAACACAATGACTGATCCTTTTTTATTTTGGGCATTCTTTTGTGTTGAATATCCGCATCCTTATCTTGTTCTCCTATGTGAGTTTTAAGATGATCAACAACACACAATTTACATTCGAGTTTTAACGTCTCAAATAATATTAGATTTTTTCAGGCCTGAATTGTACCACTTTAATTGATACGCGGCCTGAAACAGGGCCAACACTATGCATCTCTCTTCCATGTTCCCCAACCAAATCGATTTTAATCGTGTAAGACACTCTCATTTCTTATCAGTTATCACACGCACACACATATCAATGGGATGGATCCATAGACGAAGTTCATATTACAAACACTAGATTGTAGCAACCGACCAAAATTCGATTTGTTTGATCATATCGCATATTTTGATTGGCGTGCGAACAATAAGAGAGTGGCCAACAAACGGCACAGCGAAATCGACTTTGATTGCAATCAATTAGCCCAAAGTAAATTGATTGAGATTCTTTTAAGAATGGTGGTATAATTTTTTCTCTTCAAACCAACCCAAGTACCAAATAAAAAAAAAGTTTTGCAAAATTGAAGCGAGAAGAAAAAGACTTTTCCGACAAACCCAAAACCAAAATCTGTTATTGCCTTTTACTCCGTTCAATTTTGTTTTATTGCAAATTTCCGTATTTGTTTGGTACATGTTAAAACTTTGGCTCTTCTTCTTGCTGCTCACAACCGAACGAAAAGCACAAACACATGCACAGTTCGCTCTGTTTTGCAAACAATCAACTTCATGAATCAACAAAATTCGATACAAACTTTCAATTGCAAGACATAAAACTCAATTTGTTAAACTGTTGATATTTCTCTATGTTGTCGCTGTTTTATTTAAACAAATTCGTCGATTTGCATCTGAATGATTGAAACAAGAATTGTGTGAGTGTGTGATGCTCATTTTCATTTCGCATCTCCATCGAATGACACACATAATACATTTTTTGTTTCTCATCAACTTTTGCACTTGATTTCACTTAGATCATCTTGCGAACAATTTCATGCAATCACGAACATTACTTTCATACTCAATCTCTTCCCACACACAGCATCTACTTCAATTGCATATATTCAACTCTATCCAGTGGTGCTTTTATCAATTTTAATTTAAATTAAACACGATTCAATTACAAACGATAGTTGACTTTTGTAGAATGAAGAAGATTAAGAGAAAAAAAAAGGTCGGAAGCATCCATTCACATTAAACCGCACAAGTCTTCCAACTTACAAATTTGTGACAGTATGATGGAAATGTTAAGATGCATGTTGGGTGCACATTGTGTGCGTACTTAGTCTTCCCACTGCTAACCACATCTTCATTGATACACACGTATATTATATTGAAAAGTTATCTGATTCCCGTTACGATGCAATTACGACATTGTGTATATACAGTAAATGGATGTACGAGGGAATAATAACCGAACGAACAAGAAGTGATCAAATTAATAGTACTTCAACAAAAATGAAAACGCATATTACACTACTGAACTCGAAACCAACATGATTCCTTTTCATAATTATTTTATATACGTACATCAAATCCAGTGGACTACAATTTCATCATTTAAAAGTGTTCGAGGGAAATTGCTGCTCGAATTAACAATTCGTACATTCACACACATGAATCGCCCGAAATAATATCGAAATTCCTCATATGACAGCCAACAGTCACGAATTAGGGGGTAATATATTTTCTTCTGGAAATAGGTTTACACAAGACAGAATAGACTTTTTTCCGGAACCTCTCCTCCTCCGGGAATGTGTTTAGTGGCCCTCTAAATCTTGCCATTAAACCCCCCTTAAAATCTTTGGTGTGCCCAACAAACATGTGACAGATTTCTAGTCAAATGTTTGCTGACAGTCATATGAGATATGTCAGATTGTATTCTAAGCGATTCATATATCCTTTAAGTAAATTCGGTCACATTGGTAAAATCACACCACAAAAGCTCTGAAATCTACACATACATGCATTGCGTGATACATCTCGATATAAATCTCATGTGCATTGATATTGATACATGTCTCTATTTGCATATGAAACGAGCTATTCGCATTTGCGAATAACGTAAAACTTGATTCATCAAGGGAATCAAAATTGTTTCGATTTCATTTGCTTCAACTTGTTATAGTTGATTATTTTTTGCACAAAACATATTGGACATGAAGCCATTATCTTTCAACCGCTAAAATGTCAAAGTACACGCACATCAACCACCAAAACTTTTTTCCATTGGATTGACATTGAGCACATTTTTAATTGCTTTGCATGTTTTCGAAATTGCGAATCACGATTATCACTAGAAATGTCATGTCATTGATACAATATTCTGAAACACAAATAGTTATAGGTGTGTAATATTTTGGGCGTGTTCACTATCTAAAAATATTAATACAAATGCTAATTGAGTATTTTCTTTTTCGACAATAAATTCAAATATTAACACCTTGTCTAGTCCATTATTGGCAATCGTCGCGCAATAAATGCTTTCGGACGATCATAATAAAATTGTTGCAATAATTTAATGGCATCACTTTATGTGTGAGTAGGTTAGAGAAAAAGAGTGTGGGAGAGAAAGAGTTTTTATCGTAATTAGACGAAAAGGAAACGAAATGGTGCATTTTATCATTCTTTCACGTCTGCTTTATGTTTATTCGAAGCTTTTATTATTGTCGTAGTCGATAGCGCATAAAGAACATTCTTCGTAATATTGGCTTGTTAATTGCATTGCCACACGAACGATATTGCCAAGGACAACACCATTGAAATGTTCGTTAAAAAGTATCCAAGTACGCAAGGCTCTCCCATTCCAATCGAATGTTACATAAAAAACCAAAAGGATTTTACACACTTTATTAATTGCGTGTATATTTAATAAGTATATTGGTTCTTTTAACTGCTATTTCAACATTTGCTACTATTTACAACATCATTTTGACTTATTATGACGAACATTTCGATTTAATGTAGATATGAAGAAAAGAAATGGGAAAATGAATACATCGAAAATGACGAAGAAACAAATTATCACAATAAATGTTCATGTGCTTGGCCCTCATTCACTTTTACCTCTCGCTGAACATCATTACATAATTTAATGAACACATATACAATTCCGACGTAGTTCAAACCTATCTCAAAGAGCACCTCACTTGCACACATATACATTCATTTCTTTCGCCCGATTCAAGTACGCTCACAAACAAATCGGAGATTTTGACACTTAAACACGGAGATTTTGACACATGAATTTACCTTAACGAATTGCCGATACAAACGATGGCCAATCGAAACATGAATAGAACGAAATAGTATAACGACTTAAAACTTAATTAAAATGTCTGTTCGAGACATTTTGTTTTCTATTTTGAGACATTTTCATTGATGAAAAGTGTGCACAATTGTTATTTGTCATGGACAAATGAAATTGCAAAAACCATTCACGAAATCCATTTAGTAGATATCCAAATATAAATTCAGTGAAATGCATAAAATATTTACCAATTAGCAGTCCTTTTTTGGCAACCTTGCATACAACCGACGCTGGTGTTATGATAGCGGGTAATGTTTTCGACCGTAACAAAGGTGGCACAAGTCGACGTGAACTCCTTCCGGTACCAGTTTGGGCGGCAAGTGCAGCAGCTGCAGCTCTATAATTGATTGAAATAAAAAAAAGATAATAAAGCCTTTCAATTACAAATTATCACATTTACAGGTCATTTTTTTCACCATTGGTAGATAGATAATATTTGAATAAATACATGACATAGTGCAATTTAAACAGATTTTGATGAATAAATCGAAAAGCAAAATCAGTAAATTATATAGTATGGTTTCATTTCACGGGCCATTGTTTGTAGTATCTAGTCAAAATGTTCTTGCAGAGATATGGCGAAAATCGTGTGCATCTTTGATCTCTTCTGATATGATTGAAATATAAATGATAAAACATATCCTACTTTGAACGTTATCCGCAAATTGAGTTGACTTGACATTTATGACATCGACAACCATCAAAACCACAATGGAATATAACAAAGGGCTTTTATGAATATGTTTTTTTTTTCATACAATTGAAATTTGAGTACAAAAAGAATTGATATTTCTGTTTGGATTCAATTCTTCAAAGTAAACTCATATTGTACACTTCAATTGAATTTAAAATAGCAAACATGAATTCTGAATTGGCCCAATTCATAAAAAATGTGCATTTTTCAAATGGTTTGCATGCAATTTGGTGCACGGACAATCAATAAATATTCCCATGCACAATGCAAAGCATAAACGAATGGTTTACAATGAGTTTGATATACTGGTTGTAATTTAATACGTATTTCTCTTGGATATAATAAATTGCACACTGGCTCAAATTCTTTGTAAAGTCGAAAACATAAGCGCAAAAGGCAATTCCTTTAAAGCTTTATTGCCATCATTTTTCTTGCCACTCAGTAAATTTGTGCATGCTAAAAATGTACTCATTTCCTCATGCTTGTTTGGAAACTCCCCTGTCTTATTCTCTGCTAGATGGCTTTTGTTCGCCACATTTCTTCCCTGCACAAACAAAACATATGAACAAGACCGACAAGTATACGAGTACAAAGTGAGTGAACTCGGTCTTTGTTAATTTTATATCATTTCAAGTGGATTTGTTGGCATTTATAACGCGTGCCTTAAATGTATTATCATAATATGATAGAAAAATGCACGCGAATCTAACGTCATTCATGCGAATAATCAAAAGATCATGTATGCCATTTTTTGTTTTGAGAAGCATTTATAAGGTTCATGCACACAAGCAGAAATCGCATCCAGTGGAAATGAAAAAAAAAGTAGACAATATATTGAACTAACTGGTCAGTTGAGCTGACAGTGCGTTAGCCAGCTACATGGGCTAAAACAATAGACGTTATTGTTTTAATGATGCACCACTTCTCTTGTTTTAATAGAAGTGATTTTTCATTATAACAACACTGACAGTTAGTTCAATATATTGTCTGAAAAAAGAAACGATTTGACAAACTTTTCAAGATCGAAACAATTTCACAACATTTTTTATTCAAATAGTTTTTCTACCACAGCGCAAAATAATCCAGAATATCTTACAGCTAATGAGCAAACAATTTCTATAAAAAAGGCTTTTTCCTCTCTATCACACATATGGTTTTAAATTTTTCGTTTCACTATGATTTTGATGATTTTAGAATGCGATTTGTCGCAGCTGCTTCCCTATTTTATTCGTAACTTGTTCTGTTCTGTTTTTTTTTTTTTCAAGTATATGAAGCACAGAAGCAAAAGCCTCCAAATTAATTCGACTGATTTATATAATAAATCAATGTCGTATATGATGTATTGCACATTTTTTATGACTCGAAGAAAAAACGAGAAAATTGTGTCACATTTAGTTAGTGCTCAAAATTCTCGTCTGGCTAAAAGATTGAAACGTGCTTTGGCTTCGTTGTAAAACCAATGTGAAAAGTTTTTCGCAGCAACATTTTGCTGGGTTTGGATTACACTCTTTTTAAAAATTCAATTCACATCACAAAGTCGGAAATCAACGCATTTGGCATGGGTTTTTTGTTTGGTGCGACATTTTCTATTTCCATCCGAAATTTCGAAACAGATCGTTTTTCTTCTCGTTGAAGCTTTTTTATGCGATTTAAATTTTGTTTACGCTCAGTCTTTTATTTGGACGATTTTCTCAAACAAAGTAAAAAATGGATGAGCATGAGACTATATAAATACATCATTTGGTGTATGTATGCCGCTCTTGAAAACACGTTTGCCAACGTAAGCTGTCGCAAGTTTTTTTTTTTTGTTGTTTAAATCATTGTTGACTAAATGCTTATCCATGATAGTCGCTCTTCGCTATTTTTCAATTCGCATCTCAATATTTCTTCCTCTTCTTTTGGGTATATGCACCAATAAGTTACATTTTATATGCTGTTCACATGAAATAAAGTTTTAATTGTAAATATAAAATACGGATCAAATATTGAACATTCATCTATTTCACTCATTCAATATAGATAAGTTTGGTCTGGTTAAGCCAACTTTTATTCAATTTATTTTGACGAAGGGAAAGAAAACTTTTTTTTTAAATTGAAATTGTGACGAGAATTGGCTTTATGGAAACCTTCAAAAGCTAGCATATAATTAACACAAACTATATATATAGTTATAGATATATAAAGAGTCTTTGAGCTTTTTTCTCGGCTTAAACTTTTCTAATGGCATATGAAGATATGGGGTTCATTCCCACAATTGAACAGCCTGAAGGCAATTTCAAAGCCATTCCCAGCGGTATGGTGGCGAATGAGAGTAATGAAATTAAAAGCAAATGTGGTATGATTTTTCTTTTACGATAAATGAACTGAATGATAAATCATAAAAACACGCACAATCGCAATAATATACTCGCCTGATGGATATATAGATTCATGTAATGCAATAAAGTTCTCGTATACATACGATTTTGCTGGCGGTATAATACGAGTAGCGACACATTTATCATTCCTTTTTCGTCATACAATTTTTTGGATCGACGATAAAAGAAAAGAAGCATATCGCGGTTGCTTATAGCAAATGGCATTTTTATACCGATTTTCGGCTATAACAATATATATCGGAAACAAAAATCAGTTGAATCAAAGAACAGCCAACGCGAATAACGGTACGCTTTGATGTATATTGTCATCACCCTTGGTACATTTGAATTTGATTGTATGTAATATACAATGGTCTAGTGACAGATTCCGCAATAATGTTACATCGGAAAAAAATGCGTCAAAATTTTCCGTGAGGAGATGTTAAAATGTGTGTTGGGGTGTTTGCCATTGGAAGTGAGTATATGTTGTCATCATTGAATTAGGTGCAGTGTAGGCGTAAATCTTCAATAGCATCTCCTTCGAATAACTATAATGACAGATACGTACTTTATCTTGAAAATTGTGAATTGAATTTCGTTCGGAATTTATTCGATGAAAGATTTCCGATATATCTAGAAGACTGAGAGAAATAAAAAATTTACTCACTCACAATGATAATTAACCTGCATACACAGTATTCGATATTGATTATATATTTGTTTGAATGGAAAAAGATAGCTCGAAAATCAATGAATATATGCGCAATGCGCATTGTACACGGTTGACTTAGTGACTCACTAATGAAACAAAAAGCTTTTGGCTGAATTACCAAAACACATGTTCACTGAATAAACGACTCACGATTCGTTCATTAGATAAAAATAAAATAATTTAATTACCGTGATTCCGATAAATGTACATAATTTATTCAAGTGAAACCATCAGAATTCGATATCGGTAACATCGAACGATTGCTTTCCATGAATAGTTCTTTTGGCGCGCAAAAACATTAAGGGTATGGCCATTTTCGATGCTAACAGGAAAAGCAAACAAAATGGAAACAGTAACACGCTAAATTGTTTTGACATCAAGCGAATTTACGATATACATGAGATTTCGTTAGTTATACAGTACAATGAACGACCAACTGTGGTAAATTTAATTTCGCTTACATTAAGAATACGTGAGCTTGAACGTCATTTGATCACTGTTGTCACTCTTTCCATTGGCGATACCTGGACATTAAATTGAATAAGAACGAGATGGAAAAAATTAAAAATGTCTCGGAAAATGTAGTCGAGGTTGCCTGGTGTGTCAGACAAATGAGGAAACCAATGTGTGTGTACATTGTTTTAATTCGATAATTAAACGACATTTTCTATACATCTTGTGGTTATATCGGAATCGATGTCACGTCGCGATATTTTTAGTGTGTATGATATGTGTGTCTGTGTCTGTGTGTATATATGCACTATGCATGTGTAAATACTTTCATTTTTAGTAATCTCATTGTGATACGGTCCATCATTTATCATCATTACATTTGATCGTGTAAATAGAAAATTGTCTGATTCTGATCAATGTACCACTGAGCATTGATACGCGATATGAGTGCGAATATAATTTGTTATTATTTATGAATTCACTGCTTATTATCGAATATAATTTTGATTATAAGGCGCCTCATCATAAAATAACAATTCACCCGAAAATAGATTGTGATGGCTCAGTTGCTGTGACACCAGATAAATGCGTCGGAAATTATTCTTGAAACTGAACACATATACCAAATGGAAATACGTTGACGAACAGAAACACCCTAGGAGTTAGAAAATTGTGAACAAAACAAACGAGAAATCAACATGAATATCAAGATATATTAGAGATACATTTCATATTGAAAAATGTATTGTTTTAAAATGTTTACATTTTTTTTTTGAAATCGCCACGTCAAGACAGATATGCACTAATTGAATGCGTAATACCATGCTTTGTGATATGCATCCGTCAAATAACTCACTTGAAAGCATAATTTACGTCGAAGCCAAATACATTACATTATAATTCCAACGACCTTGGCAATGTAAATACACAGTGACGACAGTGACACGCTTTCACATTTCCCTACTGAAAAATATAATGTTTATCTGTATACATAGCATGTAGATAAGTCCATCGTCGATGACTAATATGAAAACGGGCGCACGCTATTGTGGATTACGGATTAGAGCAAAGTGTGAATAACACACGAATCGACACTATATACAAAAGTGCTTTGATTTTGT